TTAGCTAAGCAAGGGGTAAATAGGAAAGAATTATTTTGGGCTCAGTTGTGATTCTTGTTTTTCTTTCCTAGTTTACTTGTAAGTTTCAAGGAGGGGCTGCAGCTCACGCCTCTCGCTGGGATGATGTATGAACTCACTCTAAATTTGTTTCTGAATCAATAAATTTATTATTATTCATCAAAAAAAAAAACGTCCATACATATTTATAGACTCTAAACTCATAATAATCCTAGGAGTCAAACTGTTAGACTCATAATAGTCTTAGGAGTAAAACTGTTAGACTCAATAATCCTAGTAGGATTCAAGCTAAGCCGTCATATTCTATTTCAATTCAAAGAAGACTCAGTAATTCTAATCCTACTTATGCAATGACTGAAATTTTAAACATAAACAAACTATAATTAGACAATTTAAACCCTATCATTGGACCCCACAGAAAATGACAAAAATACCCTTGGCATTTCAATTCAGTCCAAATCCCAAGTACCACCACTCTGCCATATCAGGACCTGTTATAAGGCCTTCTTTCTAGAATGTCTTCAAGGGTGCTGATTGATTCCTATCAGGCATTCGCTTGGTGCAGTGGTAAAATCCCAGGTTAACAAGCATGTCAGGTGCAAAATTCAGTCTGAGAGAGCAGCCACTTTATGCAAAAGAATGCCAAAAAGGTTAATCTGTTTCCAGTGTACTGCTCCCAAGATCCTGGATTGGTGGATCACCACTGGGTAATAGCTTCTCCTGCAAAAGGTAAATGGCATTTGTTCCCCCAGGAAGATGTGTTCTTTTCTATTAGAGAACTTGGGTTCTCAAGAAGTGTCTCAATGCTTTTAAATATCTTTGATAGCAAGGGTGATGTAGGAGAAATATACTATTTTTTGGATTTCAAGGTAATGCTGCAGCCATATTTAAACATGGTGAAATTAAATGTATTTTTTTAATCACTGAAAATTAGGATAGTCAAGAAGGATTTCATTGGGTTTGAAGGAAGGCTGAATCTGGGTTATCCGGTTATGTTAATGAACAGATTAGAAGCTAGGATTAAGGCTGATAGCAGGGTTTGGATTATGGCTAGATTGGGTCAGTAAATGTATAACTTGATTAGGATCTTAAATGCTTCAAAAGAGGCTGCAGCTAGCTTTATGTTGATGGTAGAATCTGGTCAAGCTAGCTTTAGGGCCATTATCAGGTGGCTTTAGCTTCTTCTTGAATGGGAATCCTTACCTATCCTGATAAAATCTTGGTGGTCAATGGTGACATGACAGTATTACACCACTATAGAAGTCGACACTAGGCATCTCAGAAAATAGAGGTTTTCAATAATTTTCATCACCCATCATAATAACTTTTGTTTTCTTATAACATTGACCTGTATCATGGGCTAATGGTGCTTAGTGACTATTACTGCAATGATTGTTGTCTTGTTAACAATGGAAAGTTGCTCTGAATTTTTACCTGCCTTAAATCAGAAATGATGCAAGCATATTGATATCTGTCATAGACCTATTTAATATTTGATGTTGCCCATAACATTCTCGACTCGAGTCCTCTTATCTTTCTTTCTTTTATTTTTTCTTTTTCAAATGTTGTATTAAGAAATATATATCGCAAAGATTAAATCTGCACTCCTGTACACTAAGGCATTGTGCAATGGGAAAAAAGTAAATAGTATCAAAAAGATTGCCTGTTCACAAATAACACTTTTGGCATTAAAAAAAAGAATAGTAAGGAACTCCCCTGCAAACCATGTTTATTGACAGCCATGAACACAGGACACCCTTTACTTTCCTTGTTTTAATATCATCAGAACTGATATTTTGTTCATAGATAATAGATTTGTGAATTTCTTTTGCTCCATTTAATCCAAATGACTGTGAAGGTAGCACATTTCAAACAACTCTATCCCCTTTCCTCACCCCCTTCAGATATCATTCATGGAAGAAAGCTTCAACTGATCTGCTCTAAAGCCCTAAGAACATCACCTACACCTTGTAGGAACTTCTCCTTTCTTTGATAAGATTGTGGGAACACCGATGGTGAACAGAATGGAATGGCAAAGCAGGATTCATGTAGCCGATCCCATATAGTTGGGAGACTTAGATGATGATGATGATGATGTTTATAGAAACATGGCAGTTCTGAAATAGATGATTGGCTGATTCCAGAAATGTAGAGGTTTTTTTTTTTTTTTAATAAATTCCAGAAATGTAGAGTTTGGCAGACTATCATTGTCATCTAACATCATACCCCATCTGTCAAGATTACCTGTCATTAGGCAATTGCCCAGTGTTTCTTTCCAAACTAAAAAGATCACCTTAGATGGCACAGAGGGATGCCATATACCTTTGAGTAAGGGAAAGTGCTTTCTGTTGATGAATTTCATTTTATTAAAAAATGAGTATACAGAAACGGATCCTGACCTGTCCGAAGTCCATCTTGTCTTTTTCATTGAGGCAAGGCTTCACATTCTGAAATTTCTGCAATAGCTCAGCCATTGGTCCAATTTCTCAGTCATTCAGATATCCTCTAAACTGTCGATTCCAAACAGTGACCTTTTTTTCAACTCATAATGTTCAGCCAAATGAGCTTCCCAATTCTGGGCAGCCAACATCACCTATTTTATGTATGTTACCTTTTAACAACCATTGGTAGGATTTCTTTATTCTTCTTCACGTTGTACACTACATGAAGAGCTTTTATATTTAGGTAAAATGACCTGCCTCCATATATCTCTTACCTCCAGTCCTCTAAGTTTTGTAAGTTCACACACCTTGCTCCAACTAGTGATTTAAAAGGCGTGCCTCAGGTGCACAGGTGAGGTGCATTTCAAGGCCTGCGCCTTGCCTAGGCCCAGATGCAACTCCTTTACAAAGGTGTGCACCTGGTGCGCCTTGGTTAGAATTGTGCACTTTTTAGAGTAACGTGATTAGGAAAGAAATAAAGAGATTGAAAGTTTCATGTGCTTGAATTGTTTATTTTGATGGATGAAAAAATTTTATTAAAATTAAAATCAAAATTGAGAATGATGAATAATGTACAAGTGCCAAGTGCTAGTGCATCCCTTGCATCAGGGATTGAAACTCGCCCCTCTTCCCCTCCCCTCCCCCCAAACTAGACTGTTCCTTAATTTACATCATTAGCTAAGACTCCTGTTGTGGTGCCCCAGAATAGCTGCTCCCTACTAACCCCTTGTCTTGCCAAGGCATCTACCTAACCATTTGTTGTCCTTTCAACTCTCTTGCAATTCTGTTCACTTCTCTTATAGTACACCTGCTGCTCCATGGGCCTACTCTTTGATTTTGCATCCACCTGATTACCAATCTGGAATTGCCTTCAACTGTTATAATTTAGAGTCCTCCCAATTTTCAGTTCTTACAAAAAAGCTAATAATTCATGTGCTTGAATTGTTGAGCACTTAAATATGTTTTAGATGGTATGTTTAATTATATTTTTACATTTTCACTTTGAATATATTTTATATGTTTATGTCTATGCATTTTAATTTGAGAAAATAGGCTTTTTAGAACATTTAGTTTAAAATTTAAGTATGCATTTTTAGTTAATATTATTTTTTATTTTTACTCATAAAAATAATATTTTTTTTGGCATTTTCATGTATTTTTTTTAATTTGTGCCTCACTTCAAAAAGCTGTATGCCTCATCTTGCAAGTAAATATGAAAACCCAAAATTACCTCAACTGAGAATCCTGTGATCTTGCGTTCATAGAATGTGCAATCGGATAAAACCTAACTTTAGAAAATGAAGATGATTTGAAAGACTTCTTCATTCAGACAAGTGCAACAAACTTGAAAATTCAACCTGCTGCATTGATTTGCATCAAAAGACCTTGATTAGATGCACATTCAGTTACTAACTGTTTTGGGTGCTACTTCTTGTGTGGGTCTTAACTTCCAAATTAGCATAAAGAGTGTGAGGGAGATATGCAATTTCTGGTGCTAACTTTGCTTAGGAAAACAATGCAGAAAGCATATTTCCACAAAATGTGATCAAACACTTATGAATCAATTACCCTAGGACTTGATGAGAAAATACAGAACATATGAAAAGAAAAATTAATATATCACGCCTGAACTACACTCTTTCTACACTCTCTTATTGTTTATTCTTGATGACTTGAACCAAGATCAGTTCTCTTTTTGTGGAGTACACACAAATTCTCATCTGTGATATCAAGCATGCTGAGCTCTGCAAGCTAGTTCCACATTTCCCCATCCTGGAAGACATTATCAGTTTGGCAGCTTCTTTTGTCAGCATTCAGTTTTCTCATGTTTTTAGAGAGTTTAGTCGAGTAGCTCATAGTATTACCCAAAAAGCTCTCATAGCCCTCTGTCCTGTGGGTTCTCCTCAGCTCACTTGGCTCTCTTCTGTAACCTCTGCTGATCTCCCTTCTCCTTTGTGTGAGAGGGAGTTTCTCTGAATAATTTACTTTTACCAAGAAAAACAAAACCAAATGGATTGGGTTTCAAGTTTGTTGTTTTTTTTTTCTTCTTTTCTTTTATTGCAATCTTAAGTTATCTGTCACCTGCAAAAGAAGTATCATATGTGGGGGGTGATCTCTGTCTTATGAAGGTTTTGCATAAAACTTGACCTCTATCAGTTTTTTTTCCTGTGTAAATTGAATCATCCACTTGGAGCTTTCAGATATTGTTTTACCCTGTTTGACAGATTTGCTTGCTGCCAGGTATAAAGATGGAGAACGTCTAACAGATGAAGATGAAAAGGCTGTGGTAGAAAAGCTTCTTGCTTATCATCCACATTCTGAAGATAAAATTGGATGTGGCCTTGATTCTATTATGGTAAATACCATCCTATATAATCAATAAAAAATCATATATAGGCTTTCATTGGATATGTAGTATAACTTGGTTGTTGATTTTTTTTTCATATTTTAATGCTATACTGTTGTAAATGTATATTTGCAACTATGCATGGAAAACCTACAATTCCTTATTAGGGTGCTTGTAAATCAGTCAAGCTTCAAGCCAATACACCATCTGTGCTATATATTTTTAACAGACTTAACTCTAGTGGAAACATGGCATGATGCTTCACAGTAGCAGGAGGGCTCATTTGAAATTTGTATTTTACTGTGCTTTCAACTCTCACTGACCTAAGATAATCCTCTTTTGTTGTCCATAAATCTGTTAAGTATTGCCAATACCATACATACAATTGTTGTTTTTGGTAGCAAGACATAGGAAAATAAGAGATTGCATACATATAGGGCTTACTGGAGATGCAGTATGATCCTCACTTGAGGTAGTCATTCATCCAGTTTAGCATGGGCAGTTGTTCCTTTTATAATATGCTCAAACATTATTCCACATGGTCTTATTTTCAAATTATATATTACTTTATTTTTGGGGTTTTTAGAAATGTATTAGAGAGGAAATAATCTCTGTAGTAAACTTTGCCTAAACACATCAAAGAGTGGAGTCAAAGTGGTCCCACATATTGTTTGTGTCCATGAATTGATAGGGTGAAGTTTTCAAGTCCTCAAATTATCAATTGTGGGTTGTTGGTTTTCTAACTTGAAAGCGGCCATTATCTGAAATAGTTTCCTGCCAGCATAGTTATGGTTTACATTTTCCCTCTATCTTAACACCAACCGATTATGACATAATCTGCTACTATTTACCTTTTAAAGCTTTTGATGGATTGTTTTGCATGTACATTGGTTGTGAGTTTTATGGAATGATTAACCTAGTTATTAAACAAGATTAAGTCTTGCAAAGAGAGGCATTTAGCTAAGATGCCATTTTTGCCTCCGAGATCCTGATCAATTGAAGCTAGCTAGCCAATTAAAGCTGATAGAACTGATTGTATTGTATGAGAAGAAAAATAGGTTGAATATTGATAGAACTGATCGTATTGTATGAGAAGAAAAAAAAAGGTTGAATATGTGTACAGTATTAGGCTGTTTAACAAACTAATGACTCTTCGTCTCTTCCTTTCCAAAGGTTGATCGGCATCCTCAATTTAGACACTCAAGGTGCTTGTTTGTGGTACGAACAGATGGTGGGTGGATAGACTTCTCCTATCAAAAGTGTCTTAGAGAATACATTCGAAATAAGTACCCATCTCATGCAGAGAGGTTCATTCGAGAACATTTTAAACGTGGAAGTGGCTAATAGATTTATTTGTTACAAAGGTTATGGTGGTGATATGTTTAACAGTTACGAGAATCCTTCTGGTTTGGTTGATATGGTTTGACTGTCAGTTACTGAAGTTCATCAGTCTTGTGGGTGGAGTAACCCTGCTATTTATCCATGGCTCAGATGCTACTTAAATCTATTGCCTATGTAGCGTAGCCCTTGTACTGGATGCTCTTGTTCATTTATTAACTGAGAAAAAAAAAACATGATAAAAATTGTAGCTAGAAGATCACTGGATTATCTTCTTGATGAATTTTATCTTTCCCTATTGCAGGGAAATGATTCATACATGCAATTTCATCTATCCCAAGCAATTTTCTTTTGTTGATGCAATTTCTTTTGATTGAAAATGATCACTTTGATCTGGTTTATGTTATTTTATCAGCAAGAATATGATCTAAATTTGGTCAGGAATATAGTTAGCTAATTTCTTTCAAAACTTGTTAGCACTGAGCAGGTGCAGCAAACTAGCCAAATTAGGCCAAATTACCCTTTAGGTTCTCGAGAAATTTGATGAACTGCAAACTGTCAAACAGATTATCTGCTGGAGGCAGTTTGATGTATGCAGTATGCCAAGCAGGCCAATTGTCTACTCTGATTGAAGAGGTTGTAGTTTGTATTGATTACAGTTGGATCTGTACAAGCAGTAGAAAAGATACGGATGTACCGGTCTAATATGAGCTTGGTTGCAAATATATTACTCTAGTCTTTTAGAATTTAGATGGTTGAACTATCCAATCTGACTTTTCCCTCTCTATAGAAAATCTTCAAGATGAAGCGCACAGAATACTTGAATTCAAAAAAAAAAACAAAGTAAATTGGCTATAATACCAATACCAATAGAAGATCAGATGTTAAACCTCAAGCAGAATTTCAACCCTCTCCTTGCTATTCTGACTTCCCTGGTTTTGAAATTTCATCAGGAATTATCGTTTGCACTACTCTTGACGATACTGTGTTTTGAGGTAAAGAAGAGTGCCAAACGGCATGCATCACGATTACAATCCGCAAACAACCCAACTGCAATTTCGCTCCATTTAACCATCAGACGAGAATTCATACAAATGTTTTGGCAAAAATAAAAATGATGTGAATTCATAGAAATACTATGGCAAAAAATAAAAAAAAATAATGTTAATCTGATCTGCATATCCATACCATAATGTATAGGTATCGGAGAAGCCTGTAAAAGGAAAAATCTATGATACGGAAAGATATGATATGTAAAGAGTTTTGACCAATCAAAACCTACCCATGAATTTCGATAAGTTACACCTGATTTGCTATCACGTTTATGATTCCAGTTTATTGATCAATTATTTTTTGGATATCATATCGTTTCCATATCATAGTGAAACCCTCCAACTAAACATGGCTCATAGGTTGCCCGGATGGGGGCCACCTCGCAAAGCCCACAATAATGATCCATGGACACATTTGATGAGGCGAGTCTGATCTGTAGGCTTACTAGTCTTTTTCTTCAGTGACAATCACGGAACATGGGTTCCACTATGCTGTAACAATTGCTCATCTGCTTCTCACAGCTAATCTTTGACATTGAGAACATCTTTTAGGTGGGATGTGGACAGTGATTTAAAAGGCGTGCCTCAGGCACATAGGTGAGGCGCATTTCAGGCTATGTGGCTCTCGCTTAGGTCCTAGGCGCAGCCCTTTCAAAAGGCGTACGCCTGGTGCGCTTGATGTTCTTTGCGCCTTAGCCCAGGCGTGTGCCTTTTGAAAATTTGACGTTTTTGTTTTTTGTTTTTAACATAATGGCTGGGTCGGGGGGCTCGAGGCAAGTCCAAACAAGTCCACATTAGGTCTGAAATTCTTAGTTTTCACACAAAAAATAATGATTTTATAGTTTAAATTGTTTTTTAATAATGTATTTTATTAGGATGAATGAATGAACCCCCAATTTGGTAATGTTGTTCATTCATTCATCCTAATAAAATGTATTATTAAAAAACAATTAAAACTATAAAATCATTATTTTTTGTGTGAAAACTAAGAATTAAGACCTAATGTAGACTTGTTTGGACTTGCCTCGAGGGGCGTGGCACAAAGGAAGCTCATAGAATCAAGAATGTAATATGTTTTACATTACATAGCTATGTGAAGTACTGTAATTGAGTGAAAAAAGAGATTAGAGGTTTTATATGCTTGAAAATGTTTTATATGTTGGATTTTATATTTAAATTCTCATTTGAATATGCTTTACATTTTATGTTTATGTATTTTAATTTTAGATAATAGGTTTTTTAAAGCATTATTTTAAAATTTAACTTTATATTTTTTAGTAATATTATATTTAATATATTTCTTTTGAATTTTTTATTTTTTTAGTTTATTTTTTTTATATTTTTACGGCTTACTTAAAAAATGCATACACCTCGCCTTGCACCTTGGCCTAATGCGCAAATTGATATCTTGCGCCTTGCGCTTTTAAAACACGGACATGAAAGACATATCCCACTTCACTCTCAACTCCGTCTCTTTTTGGGTTGGTAAGAGAGTCGAATTCTCTCAATCTCTTTTGGATTTGGATATTAGAAATGCACGCCTTTTTGTATTGGGGTGGGCGATTAAATGAACAACTCAGATATTGGGATTTGACAACACAACAGGCCTGTGGGTCCGAATTGCTGGATCCGGATCCACGTATCCAATGTTCTTATGCAGCGTGTAAAACGTAGGGTCTATTATTTGATGGGATGTAAAGAGTTTTGAGGTTTTACTTTCAAGGACAGGGGTGGGATTGTTATGGACACACTGGACACACTGCCCGGCAGTGCACGGCGGTGCAGGCATAGGCAGCAGCACGCACCGCCTGGCAGCGCCGCACAACAGCCCGGCAGCGCACCGCACGCACCGCCTGGCAGTATGCAGCATGCACCGCCCGACAACGCGCAGCTCGCACCGCCTGGCAGCACGTAGCACGCACTACCCGGCAGCGCACAGCACGCACC